GGTCAGGAGTTCAAGACCAGCCCGGCCAAAATGGTGAAACTTTGTCTCTACTAAAAAAAAAAATACATAAAAAACTAGACAGCCGTGGTGGCACTCACCTGTAATCCTAGCTACTCAGGAGGCTGAGGCAGAGAATTGTTTAAACCTGGGAGGCAGAGGTTGCAGTGAGCTGAAATAGCGCCATTGCACTCCAGTCTGGGCAACAGAGCGGGTCTCCGTCTCAAAAAAAAAAAAAAAGTTTGAAATATTATGAGAATTACCAAATGTGGCAGAGGCACAAATTAAGCACATGCTCTAGGCTTGCGCAGTGCAGGGGTGCTGGGATCCTTTTTGTGAAAAGTGCTACATCTGCAAAGATGATGAAGCAGAGTGTAGTGACACGAGGTACAGTCAGGCTTCCAGCGTGTTTAGGAGAGAGCGCCATGAATGACTAGGATGCAGTTGGCTGTGGTCAGGTCAGATAGTTTAGTGGCAGGTAGGTTGGTTGGGCAAGGTGGCTTATGTCTGTAATCCCAGTACCTTGGGAGGCCGAGGAGGGAGGATCACTTGAGCCCATGAGTTGGAGGTCATCTTCGGTAATATATATATTGAGGCCCTGTCTCCGTAAGAAAAATTTTTTTCTTTTTTTTTTTTTTTGAGATGGAGTCTTGCTCTTGTGCCCGGGCTGGAGTGCAGTGGCATGATCTCAGCTCACTGCAACCTCTGCCCCCCGGGTTCAAGCGATTCTCCTGCCTCAGCCTCCCGAGTAGCTTGATTACAGTTTCGCACCACCAGGCCCAGCTAATCTTTTTTTTTTTTTTTTGAGATGGAGTCTCACTCTTTATTTTGCGGAGCTAGTTGAGGTTTTATTTTGGACCACAAATAAGCAATCGAAGACTGGGCTCGGTGGCTCTCACCTGTAATGCCAGCACTTTGGGAGGCCGTGGTGGGTGGATCATGAGGTTGGGAGTTCAAGGCCAGCCTGGCCAAGATGGTGAAACCCCATTTCTACTAAAAATATAAAAATTAGCCGGGCCTGTAATCCCAGCTACTCAGGAGACTGAGTTAGGCAATTGCTTGAACCCGGGAGGCAGAGGTTGTAGTGAGCCGAGATCATGCCACTGCACTTTAGCCTGGGCGACAGAGCAAGACTCTGTCATTTAAAAAAAAAAAAAAAAAAAAAAAGGCAATTGAATTGTTTTTTAGCTGGAGGCATTGGAAAGGGGTTCCCAGGCAGTAAGCTCCCTGCAGGTGGGCTGCAGGCTAGGGCTGAGCCTCGGGTGGGTCTCCTGTTCCCTGTGCTCCTCAGCACAGGGGCCTCCCTCACAGGCTTGGGGCAGCCACAGGAAGTGTAGACTGGGAGGGGCTGCTGCAGCTGTTCACTTGGGCAGGACGTCAGAGGACTTGGACACCACCTTCCCATTTCGGGTCTCAATCTTCTTCACACCATGGCCCTGCCGGAGCTGATGTGGCAGAAGAAGCTGGAGCCCAGGTTGTAGCTGAGGCCAGGGCTTGGGAGGCCCCCATAGGCTGAGCTGAGACCACCTGCATAGCCACTGGTGGTCTTTGTATGAATACTCAAGTTCTGCATTCCACAGGACAGTCTCTGTCGCCCAGGCTGGAGTGCAGTGGCGTGATCTCAATTTACTGCAACCTCCGCCTCCCGGGTTCAAGCAATTCTCCTGCCTCAGTCTTCTGAGTAGCTGGGATTACAGGCATGCTCCAAGTCTGGCCAATTTTTGTATTTTTAGTAGAGATGGGGTTTCTTCATTTTGGTCAGATTGATCTCAAGTTCTTGACATCAGGTGATCCTCCAGCCTCAGCCTCCCCAGTAGCTGGGACTACAGGCATGCACCACTGTGCCTGGCACAAAAAACATTTTTAAAAAAATCTAGCTTTGTGCAGTGGCAGTATTGTAGCCAATGAGGTTTATCCGAGGCGTGATTATTGCTAATTGAAAACTTCCCAATACCCCGCCATGATGACTTGAAATATAGTCGGCATTGGCAATTTTTGACAGTCTCTACGGAGACTGAATTATTAAAAAAAAAAAAGCCAGGTGTGGTGGTTGTGCGCCTGTAGTTCCAACTACTTGGGAGGCTGAGGTGGGAGGACTGCCTGAGCCCGAGAGGCAGAGGTAAGTTGCAGTGAGCTATGACCACCACTGCACTCCAGCCTGGGCAACAGAGTGAGACTCTGTCTCAAAAAAATAAAGTCAGGCTGCCTGGGTTCAAGTCGATCACCTTTTGCTGTGTGACCTTGGGTAAGTTACTCAGTTTCTCTGTGCCTCAGTTCCAACATTAATAATATGAAGATGGGATTTACTTTGTAGGGCGGTTGTGAGGAGGAATGAGGTGATGTGGGTGAAGCTCTCGGTATAGTGCCTGGAAGTGAGCTCTTAACGACTGGCACTGTTGTCAGCATTGTGGCTTCCATGGGGTTTGAGGTTCCCACGTAGTCCCTGCACATCTCTGCTGGGCACGTGCACTTTCTGATCTCCCAAACCATTCATTCATTCCTTGGTGTGCATGCTCCCTCGGCAGCCTCCTCCAGCTCTGTGGCTTCAAGTCACATCTCTGGTCAGAAGCTCTCCAGAGCCTGGTGACCTCCCCTGAGAATACTTGATGGCTCCCCATGGGTGGCTGAGGCATCTGAGTCCAAAGGAGGCTGCACAGAAGTGCCCTTTATTCTCCGCCTGAGTGTGACCTCACTTCTGGGGATGCACCATCCACATGTTCTCGATGCAGATCCCAGGGTCGCCCTGGATTCCCTTCTTTCCATGATTCCCGGCCCAACATGTCCTCTTTTGTTTTCCTTGCTCTGTTGCCTAGGCTGGAGTGCAGCGGCACAGACACAGCTCAATGCAACCTCCACTCCCTGGGCTCAAGCGGTCCTCCCACTTCAGCCTTCTGAGTAGCTGGGTCTATAGGCATGGCAAATGTTTAATTTGTAGGTATGGGGTTTCTCTCTGTTGCCCAGGCTGGTCACAAACTCCTGGACTCAAGTGATCCTCCTGCCTTGGCCTCCCATAGTGTTGGGATTACAGGCATGAGCCACTGCACTTGGGCAATTTTCTACCATAACATTTTATTCTGGCCCATGACACTCCTTCCTAAAACTTTCCACTTGGCCGGCTCCTTCATGTCCTTTGCATGACAGCTCAGATACCACCTCCCCAGAGGCCACCCTTGCCGTCCCATGCAGACAGCCGCGCTGGCTGTTCCCTTCCTTTCTCGTGGTCTGCATGTACTCAGTGCTGTGTGGACTTGGTAGGTTTTTTTTTGTTTGTTGGCCTCCCCCCACCCCTGTGTGAGTGCCTGGGGCACAGCGATCCTGCCCATTTTCTTTTCTGCTGTACCCTAACTAGGCAGACGAGGCCTGGCAAGTAAATGCTCAATAAGTAAGTTTTTTTTTTTTTTTTTTTTTTTGAGATAGTCTTCCTCCATAGCCCAGGCTGCAGTACAGTGGCGTAGTCTTGGCTCACTTTGACCTCCACCTCCCGGGTTCAAGCAATTCTTCTGCCTCAGCCTCCCAAGTAGCTGGGATTACAGACGTGTGCCACCACGCCCGGTAAATTTTTGTATTTTTAGTAGAGACAGGGTTTTAACATATTGGCCAGGCTGGTCTTGAACTCCTGACCTCAAGTGATCCACCTGCCTCAGCCTCCCAAAGTGCTGTAGTGTGTGTGTGTGTGTGTGTGTGTGTGTGTGTGAACATCTGCTATGTGCCAATTACCATACAAAGTGCTGGGGATACAAAGATCAGACAGAGTCTTATGCAAGGGGGCTCACAGTTCATTAGGACACAGACAAGCAGAGAGAACTGAGTGGCTGTGCAGGTGAGGATGGGTGCCAGTGGTGAGACCTCTGTGTGCAGAAGAGAACTGTCCTGGTGGGTCTGGCCCCTTCCTTCCTCCGGGCTTGCTGAGACTGGCCTGGCCCAGCTGGAATTCTGTATGAGATGGGAAGGAGGGAGTGTGGCAGTACAGGACTTTGTCATTGTCCCTTGAGTAGCCACCTGATGAGAGCTCCTCACAGATAGCAGAGACCACAATGATTGCTTCCTCTCAGAGCCTTCGTTTGGTAAAGATTGGGATATCTGTAAGAAAGGGATGCTGGGCCAGGAGTGGTGGCTCACACCTGTAATCCCAGCACTTTGGGAGGCTGAGGCAGGCAGATGACGAGGTCAGGAGATCGAGACCATCTTGGCTAACATAGTGAAACCCCATTTCTACTAAAAATACAAAAAATTAGCTGGGTGTGGTGGCACGCTCCTATAGTCCCAGCTACTCAGAAGCCTAAGGCAGGAGAATTGATTGAATCTGGGAGGCAGAGGTTTCAGTGAGCCGAGATTGCGCCATAGCACTCCAGCCTAGGTGACCCTGTCTCAAAAAAAATAAATAAATAAAGGGAGGCTGGCCTCTCCTGCCCTGTTCTGATGTTTGCAGGGGACCAGTAATAGGCGTGGTGGCAGGGGGGATAGCAAGGCCCTTGGGGGGTGGTGCTCTGCCTCCCACCGGGCAGCTCAGAGTGGATGGTGAAGCTGCCATTGCTCACCCAGGTGCTGGGAGGGCTGCCTGCCAAGGGAGGGCCTGGTGGTGTGAAGCTGGGGTGTTCATGGGCCTGCTCAGACCGTGTGTGCCAGGGTACTGCTGTGAGCCATCATGGTTCTGCCTGCCCTCTGCGTTTTCAGAAATGGAGCCTCTGGCACCTCCAAATCATTGCACCAGAAGTCTCAGGGCAGGCTCTCACTGGCTTGTTTGAGTCACATGGCCAGGCCTAAATTGGTCACTGTGGCTGAGGTAGGGATACAGTGCTCTGATTGGCTGGCACTGACTGAGCGTGAGACATAGGAGAGTCAAGGGGTCATTTCTAACCCAGACCTAACTGAGAGGGGCTCTGTAGCCTGAGATCCACAGCAACCAGGAGGGGGTCAAGTGGAGGGAGGAGGGACAGGCAGGGCGTTGGGGAGGGGCTGTGTGAGGACAGCTGGGTAGTGACGCTCATTTTCATCCCCCCCAGAAAAGTTGCCAGACCGCCAGCATTGTCACTGCTGACACGTCTGCCCAGGTTCGAAATCATGCTGATGCCCAGGTGCAGACGGAGGCCCTGGAGCCTGTCAGTGTGCAGCCCCCATCCCGGTGTGACATCCCCCGGCTCGCAGCCTTTCTTCGGAGAGTGGAAGCCATGGTCATCCGAGAGCTGAACAAGAACTGGCAGAGCCACGCGTTTGATGGCTTCGAGGTGAACTGGACCGAGCAGCAGCAGATGGTAGGGGACGGGCTGCTGCAGCCTCTGTCCAGCCCCTGCCCCACTTTCGTCTGTCCTTGTTTTCCTTCCCACAGAAAACAGCTGTGCCAGTCTTAGTCACAGCCGGCACTCACCAGGCTCATGTCCTGCCTGGTACTGGGCTAGGTTTCCAAAGAATAAGTCAGTGAGCCTTCACTGCTATCCTTGAGAGAAGTGTTCTGTCCATTTTACAGTTAGGGAGATGGATACCCTAAGTGGAAGTAACATCCAGAGTGAAACTGAACGGGTGGGCAGTGGAGGCAGGCTAGAGCCTGGGGGCCCGGCTGCCATCCCTCCCCATATACAGTGTAGTGAGGGTCTTCTTTGAGCCAGGCCCAGTTAAGAGTGTCTCCTGTGGCATCTCATTTACTCCTCAAAACAACTGTATGAGGCCTGGTGCGGTGGTTCACGTCTGTAATCCCAGAACTTTGGGAGGCCAGGGTGGACAGATCACCTGAGGTTGGGAGTTCGAGACCAGCCTGGCCAACATAGTGAAACCCCATCTCTACTAAAAAGACAAAAATTAGCCAGGCATGGTGGCAGACGCCTGTAACCCCTGCTACTTGGGAGTCTGAGGCAGGAGAATCGCTTGAACCTGCTGGAGATTGTGGTGAGCCGAGATCACACCACTGCGCCCCAGCCTGAGCGACAGAATGAGATGGAGTTTTGCTCTGTTGCCCAGTCTGGAGTGTAGTGGCGCAATCTCAGCTCACCGCAACTTCCACCTCCTGGGTTCAAGTAATTCTCCTGCCTCAGCCTCTTGAGTAGCTAGGATTACAAGCACCTGCCACCAGGCCTGGCTAATTTTGTATTTTTTTAGTAGAGACAGGGTTTCTCCATGTTGGTCAGGCTGGTCTTGAACTCCTAACCTTAGGTGATCCACCTGCCTCGGCCTCCTAAAGTGCTGGGATTACAGGTGTGAGCCACTGTGCCTGGCAAAAAAAAAAGATTAGAGTTAGGATCTGCTGTGTTGTCCAGGCCGGACTTCAAATGGTCTCAAGAGGTGCTGCTGACTCAGCCTCCCAAGATGAATGAATGAATGAATTAATTTGTGAGACGGAATCCTGCTCTGCCACCCAGGCTGGAGTGCAGTAGTGCGATCTCTGCCTCCTGGGTTCAAATGATTGTCCTGCCTCAGCCTCCCAAGTAGTTGGGATTACAGGTGCCTGGTACCATGCCTAGCTAATTTTTGTATTTTTAGTAGAGATGCGGTTTCACCATATTGGCCAGACTGGTCTCGAACTCCTGACCTCATGATCCACCCGCCTCAGCTTCCCAAAGTGCTGGGATTATAGGCGTGAGCCACCACACCCAGCCTCCTGAGATGATTTTTTACAAAGTGTAAACATTTCTTAAACCAGAAGCTAGATCGAGAAAGTGAACATTACCAGACCTGCAAGAGCTTCCTTCCACCCCCAGCCCACTGTATAGCTTTGTTTGAAAATAATAGCTTTGTTGAGATATAATTCACATAACTTACCCATTTAAAGTATACAACTCATGGTGAGTTTTGGTTCACAGAACTGGGCAACCATTTTTGGGACTTCCCAGAAGAAACCCCATAACTACGAGCAGTCCCTCACCATTTTTCCCTGGCACTGGCGTCTGCGAATCCTTCCTCCTCTGTGGATTTACGTATTTTGGACATTTCACATGAATGGAGTCACACAGTACATGGCCTTTCGTGCCTGACTCTTTCACTTAGCATCATGTTTTCTTTTTTTTTTTTTTTTTTGAGATGAAGTCTTGCTCTGTCGCCCAGGCTAGTGTGCAGTTGGTTGTGCGATCTCTGCTCACTGCAGCCTCCACCTCCCAGGTTCAAGCAATTCTCTGCCTCAGCCTTCCGAGTAGCTGGGATTACAGGTGTGCACCACCACGCCTGGCTAAGTTTTGTATTTTTAGTAGAGATGGGGTTTCACCATCTTGGCCAGGCTGGTCTTGAACTCCTGACCTCATGGTCTGCCCATTTCAGCCTCCCAAAGTACTGGGATTACAGGCATGAGCCACCGCGCCTAGCCTTAGCATCATGTTTTCAAGGTTCATGAGTGTTGTGGCTTGGATTGGTTGTGCGTTCCTTTTGCGGCTATATAATGTTCCATTGACAGACCACGTTTATTTATTCACTTCTCAGTTGATGGAGTTGGCTGTTCCACTTTTTGGCTGTCGTGAGTAGTGCTTCTGTGGACATTGGTGTACAGGTGTCCGTGTGGACATGTGTTTGCATTTCTCGTGCCTAGGAGGGGAGTTGCTCGTCCTGGTCTCCTGCCAGCTTGTTCTCCACAGCAGAGGCATCTTGCACATGCTATGGCAGTGCACAGGGAGCCGGCTGTGTAGCTTTCTGTGAACATGGGGTCTTTCCAGTGGATAGTTTTTTTACTTTTTTGCAAAATGAATTATTTTTTTTTTTTTTGAGGCAGGGTCTTGGTCTGTTGCTTAGGCTAGAGGGCAGCAGTGCAGTCTCAGCTCACTGCAACCTCTGTCTCCTGGGTTCAAGTGATCTTCCCACCTCAGCCTTGTGAGTAGCTGGGATGACAGGTATTTTCGAACATGCCCAGCTAATTTTTATATTTTTGGTAGAGATGAGGTTTCATTGTCTTGTCTAGGCTGGTCTTGAACTCCTGAGCTCAAACGATCCTCCTGCCTCAACCTCCCACAGTGCTGGGATTACAGGTGTGAGCCACCACTCCCAGCCCTCAGTGGATAGTTCTTTAAGTAGAATCATTAGGTCAACAGATGTGAAACTTTACAAGATCTGGGAGACTGTTTGGATCCCTGGCACACACCACTTCCTGGGCAGCTGGTGCCTACCCCTGGCCGGGCTGGTCATCAGTCTCCTCACATGTGGCTCTGGCTGGGTGGGGGCTGAAAGCAAGATGCTAGAGAGCCTGATAAAAAATTGTGTGCAGCCCGCATGGTGGCTCACATCTGTCATCCCAGTGCTTTGTGAGACCAAGGTAGAAGATTACCTGTCAGGAGTTCGAGACTAGCCTGGGCAATGTGGTGAAACCCCATCTCTGCTAAAAATACAAAAATTAGCCAGGTGTGGTGGTGCACGCCTGTAATCCCAGCTACTTGGGAGGTTGAAGCATGAGGATCACTTGAACCTGGGAGGCAGCAGTTGCAGTGAGCCGAGATCGTACCAGGGCACTCCAGCCTGGGTCACAGAGCAGGACTCTCTCAAAAAAGAAAACCAACTAACCACTACCAGCAAAAAATCATGTGCGTGTAGCACCACGTGATGTCGGGTGGTTGGCTTGGCTCCTGTCGAGTGTCCCGCTTGGCCACGTTGGACTCCTTCATGCTGCTGGGCAGCCACCCTATCTTCCTGCTGCAGCTGCTGAGGCTTGAAAACTGGAATGCTCCTGTGAGGGCAGCCGCTGCTCTGGGCGGGAGCCTGGTTGGCCTTGATTCTCAGGCTTTGCCTTTTGGGCTTCTGGAAGCATCCTGCTGGGGCAGATGTGAGGATGAACGTCCCACATTTTCCTCTAGGCCTTGCCGGAAGACTTGAGGGCCTCTAGGGCTAAGGGTGGCCCGGTCTAGGTGAGGTTTGGTTAGGTGGCCATAAAGCCCCCTGCTGGTGGCTTTGGGACTCAGGATTGGGGATGTCTCCGCAGGTGTCCTGTCTGCATACCCTGGGCTACCCCCCAGCCCAAGCGCAGGGTCTGCATGTGACCGGCATTTCCTGGAACTCCACTGGCTCCGTGGTGGCCTGTGCCTACGGCCGGTGAGTCGCCTCGGGGTGGGTGAGGGGCAGTGTACCACCCCAGGACCCTTGCTGGGCCTCGGTCTCTCCAGCTGCATGTGGAAGGGTTGGCCCCAAGAGCCCATTCTGGGAGTCTCTTCTCAACGCTTTCTGGGCAGGGTTGACAAGTGGCAGGAGAAGAGCAGGGAGCAGGGCTGAGTGCCAGGATCGCCACCCCCCTACCTGGTGGCCCTGGGCCTGCCTACCTTGCCCGTCTGGCTAGCCACTTCCCCATCCTGCATGGCATGGACTGTCCTTGGTGCCTGGGGACCCTTTTCCAGAGAATGCCACGCCCTTGGAGTACTGGAGCGGAGCCTAGGGCATTTCAGTACCCACAGTAGTGTCTGGTGGTGAAAAGGACACAGGTGAATGTGTTGGCTAGTGGGGAGAGAAGTGGGGTGGGTGACAGGAGCCTGACCTAGGGGTACAGCCAGCTCAGGCCTGTCCCTGCACAGGGTGGACCATGGGGACTGGAGCACGCTTAAGTCCTTCGTGTGTGCCTGGAACCTGGACCGGCGAGGCCTGAGTCCCTGGCAGCCATCGGCTGTGGTGGAGGCGCCTAGCGCCGTTCTGTGCCTGGCTTTCCACCCCATTCAGCCCTCCCACGTCGCAGGTGAGTTGCCTGCTGCCTCCACCTCCTCTCCTCTCAGGACTCAGCTTCCCGGCCTGCAGGGGTGCACAGCGAGCTTTCCGTGGGCCCTCTGGCTGGGAGACAGGAAGGTGGGCCCTGACCCCCTTGGCTTGGAGCCCAGGTGAAGCCCTGCAGTTGTGGAACTCAGAGGAGTCTGGAAGGGGGCCAGGGTGAGGGCCAGGGCTGGGGGCTGTGCAGAGGCTGGAAGAGGCAGGTGCCCTTGGGAACCTATCAGTGGGATGGGGCAGGCGATGCTGGAGGGAGCTGCCAGATGCAGGGCAGGGGTGTCCAGCAAAGCTCCCTGGGGTGCAGCAGTGGGGCCGGGACACTCCCTCTGCAGGGACGGCTTCTGTTTCCTGGCCCTGTGTGTGGGTCGGGGTGGGTGTTTGGCCAGGAAGCCAGGCTGGGGACAGGGCTGAGTCTCTGCCCAGGCCCACTGTCCCCGCAGGAGGGCTGTACAGTGGCGAGGTGCTGGTGTGGGACCTGAGCCGTCCCGAGGACCCACTGCTGTGGCGCACAGGCCTGACAGATGACACCCATACAGACCCTGTGTCCCAGGTCAGGGAAGGGACTGCTGGGTGGGGTGGGCCCTGAGGCAGAGCGGGGAGAGGGCGCCCACTCTCCTAGGAAGGTCACCCGGGCGTTGGCAGTTGGACAGCTGCCTCCTGCATTCTCGGAGCTCTGACAGCATGAGTCACCCCCTCAGGAGCCACTCCCAGAGCCCTGTGGCCATTCCCAGCCTCTTCTGCAGGCGCTGCAGCGCTGGAATTCTGGCACTGGAGAGGGCTCTGGGAACCCTCTGGGCCTGCCCCCTAGTGGGTGAGCCTGGCTCTGGGGCCTCCCTGAGAATTCTTTTTTTCCTGGAAGAGGGAGGGTGGGAGTGGAGTGTGATACCTGGGCAGGTGTCCTTTGTCTTCATCCCGCCCCGCATGCTGTCATCTCAGGTGGTGTGGCTACCGGAGCCCGGGCACAGCCACCGCTTTCAGGTGCTGAGTGTGGCCACTGATGGGAAGGTGCTGCTCTGGCAGGGCACTGGGACAGGCCAGCTGCAGCTCACAGAGGGCTTTGCCCTGGTCACGCAGCAGCTGCCACGGAGCACCAAGCTCAAGAAGGTATGTGGTACCCACAAATGGCCCTGGCCTGCACCAGTGAGCCTTGGGGGCGGGAGGGTGTGGCCAGTGGGCCCGACTTGCTGTGATTCCCCCTGTACTGTTCTCTGGCTCTGTTAGGATAGTGCCATCTGATGCCTTTGGCTCTGACCCTTGTGCTGCCATTTATCCACAGTATCCTCGGGGAGAGACTGAGGTGGGCGCCACGGCAGTGGCCTTCTCCAGCTTTGACCCGAGGCTGTTCATTCTGGGCACGGAAGGCGGCTTCCCACTCAAGTGTTCCCTGGCAGCTGGAGAGGCGGCCCTCACGCGGATGCCCAGCTCTGTGCCCCTGTGGGCCCCGGCACAGTTTACCTTCTCTCCACACGGCGGTCCCATCTACTCTGTGAGCTGTTCCCCCTTCCACAGGTAGGTAGGAGAGGCTTCGGCCTCGGGCACAGTGGCACCAGGTGTCCCTGTCCTGTGGGTCCCTAGCCTGCCAGGCCTCATGACAAACCGCTGCAAGTGCTTACCTTCTGCCTTCCCTGAGCCCCACATGCAGCTCTTTGCTGGTTGGTCCCAGGCATCGTCTTTTTCTCTAATGAGAGGACTGACGAGGCCCTTCACAAGCCTGGCAGCCCAGGAGGGGTCTGGTGTTGGGGGCCAGCACCACCCAGACGCCAGCATCAAGTCCCTTGCCTGGCCTCCTGCATCCCATCTAGGAATCTCTTCCTGAGTGCAGGCACCGATGGCCACGTCCACCTGTACTCCATGCTACAGGCCCCGCCCCTGACCTCGCTGCAGCTCTCTCTCAAGTACCTGTTTGCTGTGCGCTGGTCCCCAGTGCGCCCCTTGGTTTTTGCGGCTGCCTCTGGGGAAGGTAGGAAGGGGCCACTGGTCCTGGATCTCTTTAAGGGGTGGCTTGGGCCTTGCTTGTATCTGGGGTTCTGGGTTGGGCAGAGGCTGCACGCGGCAGGACTGAACCGGGTCTCCAGTTTAGTTTCTCTTACTCTCCTTGCAGGTAACGTGCAGCTGTTTGATCTCCAGAGAAGCTCCCAGAAACCCACAGTTTCCATCAAGCAAACCCAGGATGAAAGCCCTGTCTACTGTCTGGAGTTCAACAGCCAGCAGACTCAGCTCTTGGCTGCGGGCGATGCCCAGGGCACAGTGAAGGTGTGGCAGCTGAGCACGGAGTTCACGGAACAAGGGCCCCGGGAAGCTGAGGACCTGGACCGCCTGGCAGCGGAGGTGGCCACCTGAGGGTTCTGGGAGGCGGGTGCAACACTTTGCTGTGCTGAGCCCTGATGTGAACTGAATGAAGAAAAGCAAAGCTTTGGGTGAAGAGTTGTCATTTATTTGTCTTTACATGAAAACAGAGTTGGGGGAGGAAGGAAGGGAGAACAAGAAGGGGAGGAGCCAGCTGCTTTGATTTTTCTGAAGTCGGAATGAGGGCAGCTGCTTCAAGACATGGATCTGGGTCCCCACAGTGACATGGTGATTGTGACTGGACCGGAAGCGGGTTAGTGAAGCACCATTTTCTACTAAGTCTTACTCCAAGCTAAGCAAGCTTAAGGTTACCGTGAAAAGAGCGAGCATATGGGAGTGTACATGCAGCAGGTGACACGGGGCAAGCAGTGTGGGATGGGTGACCAGGGAGCGGCTCAATTCACAAAGAGTGAGCGGGTGAACTCCACGTAGTCGAATGCAGTGGGGAGTTCGCGGCCCTTGCCATCCACATAGGGCTTCATGTGGGAGACGCAGTAGTCGGCTTGTTCCCGGGTCAGGTTCTGGGGGAAGGGATGGTGCCCAGTGCCTGAGCCAGCTACATCCACTTCAAACCCGACCTCCCAGGGCTCAGGATGCTGGGGGCTTGGGGCTCAGGGCTCAGAGCCGCCCCTACGAGCAGATCCAGGACCTCAGCCCATACTGAGTTTTGATTTGTAAGTGGGGAGGAAACTCCTGTACCCAGCAGGGTCTGTTGCCCCAGACTCAGCTCTGCCACAAATTTGGCTTTAGTTTTCCAAAGGAAAGCTCTTCACCCACCTCCCAGGGCCCGTACCTGGTAGAGCTCCTCCTTGGTCACGTAAGGCTTTCCCTCTGAGCTGAGGGCCCGGAAGGCGCTCTCAATCTCCTCACTGGACTTGACGTTCTCAGTTTCACGGCTGATCATGAAGGCCATGTATTCTTGCAGGGAGACGTGGCCATCTCTGGGAGAGGAGGGGAGGCAAGTGCCTGAGCAGGGAGGCCAGGCGGGAGCTCAGAGCAGAGGCTCACAGTACCCGGCCTCAGCCTCACCTGTTTGGATCCACTGTGTCCAGGATTGCCTCGAACTCAGGGTCAGGTTCCCCTTCCTCCACCATGGGCAGGTCATAGCCCAAGGAGCGCAGGCAGGATTTGAACTCCTGGTGGTTCAGCCTGCCAGACTTGTCCTTGTCAAAGTGTCTGCAGCACAGAGCCAAGGGCAGCTTAGCACACAGCCCTGCTGCCGACCACCCCCCACCCAGCCAGGACATGTAGGGCTGAACTCACTTAAACATCATGCTGAATTCTTTGAGGGCCTCCTCAGTCACACCTGTTGTGTTCCTGGAAGAAAAACAGAATTAGGGAGCAGACCCTCCTCACCGCAGGTGACCTTTCCTCCACCTCCTCCCCGCTCTGGGCTGAGCCTGGGCCCACAGTCCTGCCAGGTACCTAGCCTGGATCTGCTGCTCCAAGTTGTGCTGCATGCGCATGCCCAGCTGGTCCAGCTGATCCCACTGCTGGGCCAGGCCCACAGTGCTGTGCTCTGTGTACTTGTTGTCCAGGATGAGGGCCTCCTCCATGGCGGCCCCCAGGTCCTCAATCTTTTTGAGCTGACTTCTCATGGCTCGGATTTCCTGATGCTTGCGCTGCAGGGGTGGGGAGCACAGATGCTTGGACAGGGGCCCTCAGCTCAGCTACCAGCCCAGGAGCCACTTACTGCCCTCCTTGGGCTCCTGGAGACCTCATAAAACAAGAACATTGCCAGGTGCGGTGGCTCAGGCTTGTAATACCAGCACTTTGGGAGGCTGAGGTGGGCGGATCACAAGGTCAGGAATTTGAGACCAGCCTGGCCAACATAATGAAACCCCCGTCTCTACTAAAAATAGAAAAATTAGCCAGGCGTGGTGGCACACACCTGTGGTCCCAGCTACTCAGGAGGCTGAGGCAGGCAAATGGCTTGAACCTGGGAGTCGGAGGCCAGCCTCGGTGACAGAGTGAGACTCTGTCTCAAAAATAAAAAAACAAGAGTTTGGCTGGGCGTGGTGGCTCACGCCTGTAATCCAAGCGCTTTGGAGGCCAAGGCGGGCGGATTACATGAGGTCAGGAGTTCAAGATCAGCCTGACCAACGTGGTGAAACCCCATAATCCACCTGCCTTGGCCTCCCAAAGTGCTGGGATTACAGGCATTTATTTTTTCTTTAAAAATAAAATAACAAAAAAATACATTATAGAACAGGAATAGTGGGATGGGGTAAAGCTGAAGAAATCCCAATAACCCCAGCAGAGGGAAACACTTGAAATGTGAGGCTTACAAACCAGCTGCTAGACCTGTCAGAGAGCAGGCTTCACCGAGGACAAGTACAGGGAGGACTCCAGGAAGCAATGGCCAGAGATTTTTATTTATTCATTTATTTTTTCTTTTTCTATTTTTTTTTTTTTTTTTTTGCACATAAGGACAGTGGAGAAGATATTTGTTTTTGAAATGGAATCTTGCTCTGTCGCCCAGGCTGGAGTGCAATGCAATGGCACGATCTCACCTCACTGCAACCTCTGCCTCCTGGATTCAAGTGCTTCTGCCTCAGCTTCCTGAGTAGCTGGGATTACAGCCACCTGCCATCATGCCTGGCTAATTTTTTGTATTTTCAGTAGAGATGGGGTTTCACCATATTGGCCAGGCTGATCTTGAATTCTTGACTTCAAGTAATCCACCTGCCTCGGCCTTCCTCAAGTGCTGGGATTACAGGTATGAGCCACCGTGCCCAGCACCAAACACTTTAAAGTGAAGAGCCCTTGCCTGGGAGCAGGGGTTTATGCCTGTAATCCCAGCACTTTGGGAGGCTGAGGTGGGTGGATTACCTTAGGTCAGGAGTTCAAGACCAGTCTGGCCAATATGGTGATTCCCTGTCTCTACTAAAAATATAAAAATGAGGCCGGGCACGGTGGCAGGTGGCTGTAATCCCAGCTACTCAGGAGGTTGAGGCAGGAGAATCGTCTGAATCCAGGAGACGGAGGTTGCAGTGAGCCGAGACCATGCCATTGCACTCCAGCCTGGGCAACAAAAGCTGAACTGTGTCTCAAAAGATACATCCAAATAAATAAAAATAGCCAGGTGTGGTCGCACACATCTATAGTCCAGCTATTTGAAGGGCCAAGACAGGAGAATTACTTGAACCCAGGAGGTGGAGGTTGCAATGAGCTGAGATTGCACCACTGCACTCCAGTTTGGGAGAGAGCACTAGACTCCATGAAGAAAGTAAGGAGAGACAGACAAGAGAAAGAGCCCTAGACTGCTTTAGGCCAAGGGAAAGGGTAACCAATGGCATATCTAGTTCCTGACTTTAAACCAAGAAGGAAAGGGTAGCCTGAGGGGTGGCTGGGTCAAAGGTCTGAGCTAGGCGAGAGCCCCAGGAGTACTTACTTTGGTAGCTTCAAGCTGGGATTCAAGGGTCCCTGACTCTTCCACCATGCAGGACCTAAACATGGAAGGACAGTGAGGAAACGGGCCTGCTCCCAGCTGACTGAGAGCTCAGAATGAACCTCCCCTCAGAGAGAGCAATGCCTGGCAACCTCACATTCCTTTCAAGGAAACCAAACCTAACTGCAATTGGCCATCTTTACTTTATGGGCCCCAGGGATCCAGGGAGGGCAGGGAGCATTTCTCTTGTTTAGAGATGAGAGGCTGCTCCTTTGTGGTGGGTCAGGGTTAAGCCCACTCATCTTGCTTCCAGGCCAGGATGACTCAGGAATGGAGTTTAAATTATGGGTGCAGAATGGCTGCAGGCCTGTCTGAGCATCCTCTCTGCAGCCATGGTGGGGATGGGACACCCTGACGCCTGACAGGAGACCTCAGGGCAGAGGGGAGACTGAGAACCTGACAGCCCCACCACAGAAACCCTGGAGTGTCCTGGCATGGTTCCTGAAGGGGGAGCCCCATTCTAGGGGAAATGAGAGCATGACCCTGCAGACAGGGACACAAGTGGAGTGCTGGGAGACCATGAACAACTGTGTCGAAAGGAGGGAGACGGCTGTGACTAAGCCCAGATCCTGGTTCCATCAGCTAGACACTGCCAGGGCGGGGGCAAGTGTCTGAGAGCAGGTGGGCTTTGGGGAGCCTCCTTCCTAACAGAACACAGTGCCAGGTCACAGAGACTACCAGTGAACAAAGACAAACGAGTTAGGGTTACGTGCAGGGACGAATTCACGGTGCATATGGCCTTGGTGGGATTTTAGCCCAGGCTCCCCTGTACCCACATTTGCCCCAACCTACCCTTTTAAAACCCAGCGAGCCAGGGTTAGCTCTGCAATCTCCCCAAGTTCAAAGTGCTCTAGCAAGGCAAGGCACCAGGCTTCCTCCTACCCCAGCAGGTCAGACTCACAGTCACGCCATGTCCCCCCAGGGAAAATGCCCCCAGGACCTGGGGGCAGGAGGCTGGGTGCCGGTGCAGTGGGAGGACAGACCCCTCCTTCCCAAGCAGCCGAGGGCGGCAGGTTAGTCAGGGTGGAGCCGCCTGGGGATGTCAAGAGTGCATCAGTAAAGCCACAGTGAGGTAAGAAGAGAAATAAGGAGAAAAACCTTCCAGACAGGTCATCCCCAACTTCATACTGATAGACACGAATGACCCGACGATATGCTATGCTATTCAAAGAAAAGAAACTGAATGAATACACCAAAGGGAGGGGAGGCAAGAGCACACTGCGACAGATACACACAAGGCCCAAGCTGCAGGGCATAGGCAAGGGCAACCCAGTGCCCAGTGGGTACCTGGAGGCAGCAGGCCCAATGGCTCACCCCAGGCAGCTCACACTAGGAATGGGCAAGATGGGGCAGGGCTTGGGTGAGGGGAGCGTGGCACCTCACGGAGACAAGAGCAAGACCAGCAGACACAGCCATGGGGCAGGGAGGGGAGTCAGGTGGCCAGGATGTCCTATGGGCACAGGCCGGAAACTGCGATTCCTATGTCCCCAGCTACTCTACCATCAGAACTTGTGGCCTGGCTGTTTTGGGTCTATTTCCCCCCTAGCAGCCTTTACAGGCTTGATGTGCCTGTATGCAGTCTCAGGAGTGCAGGCTAAGCCACTGCAGTCCCACCAGCCCTGGCT